CTGGGGTGGCTGGGAAGGGCAATAATACAAAACAGCTTAGAAAGGAAATGGAGAATATATTATACGGTAAGTCCATTAATGGCTATTAGCCAGGACGGGGAAGGAATGGTGTCCTTAGCTTCTGTCTGTCAGAGGATGGAGTAGGATGACCAGACAGCAAGTGTGAAAAATCGGGATGGGGTTGGGGGGTAATAGGAGCCTATATAAAAAAAAGACCCAAAAATCGGGACTGTCCCTATAAAATCGGGACATCTGGTCACCCTAGGATGGAGATGGATGGCAGGAGAGAGATCACTTGATCATTGCCTGTTAGGTTCGCTCCCTCTGGGGCACCTGGCATTGGCCACTGTCGGTAGACAGGATACTGGGCTAGATGGACCTTTGGTCTGATCCGGTACGGCTGTTCTTATGTTCTTATTAATGTCAGAGTCAGTGACAGAACCCAGGAGTTCTGACCCTGCTAATCAAGGACCTGCTCCTGCTACACTGAAGTCAATGCCAAAACTCTCAGACCCAGATCCCTAAAGGTATTTAGGCACCTAATTCCCATTGATTTCAATGGACATTAGGCATTTAAATATCTTTGAGGATCTGGGCCCCAGTGACTCTACTGGAGCAGAATTGGGTCTCAAGCCAATGGCGTGCACACGGAAACTTAGTCACGCTTTTACAAAGTTGCTGAATTAATCAATAATATTTAGAACAGGCCTAATCCTAAAGACGGGAACATCACATCCAACCCTCCTGAGCTTTAGCACCAGGTCTAGAATTCTCGGTCCAGGCCTCTCTCTATTATAGAGGTTTTTAAGGTCAGGCTTGACAAAGCCCTGGCTGAGATGATTTAGTTGGGGTTGGTCCTGCTTTGAGCAGGGGGTTGGACTAGAACCTCCTGAGGTCCCTTCCAACCCTGATATTCTATGAGAGCCAAACTGGTATCCCCAAAACCTATAACCTTTGTTTTAACATCCAAACTCCAAGACTGCTCCCCATCTCTGTTAAACCTCCTCCACACAAATGCATGGAAGTACTGTACCAGTTTAACAACCTTCAAGGTACAAACTGATACTAATGGGGATTGAACCCATGGTTGTTAGGCTCCTAGACACCAGAAATACTAATGTTTAAGCCATTAAACCACCTCTCAGACAAAAAAAAGTTTACAACTACAACCCTCAAACTGAATTCACAGCTCACATGCTATTGGAAACAAGGAGATAAAAACATAAGTCACTTAATGACATACAAGGTATGGCCAAGACACATGATTCTTTTCACTGCAGACCAGCATGACCTGACATTCACTCAGATTACAGAACATGCTATTGGGAATTGTTCGTGAAGACACATTTATGGGGGGGAGCAACAGTTACTGACTTGCAAAGGTTTGCAGCACTGAATAAGATAGCACCTTACAGGCAGTCCTTGGAATGGGGGATGTAATAGAAAGGTGGGACTTTTGCCTCATATTTAGCCTTGGCCCAGAGATTCCCATGCATCTTCATAAACTGCAAAACAAAAGACATTTCAGTTAGCTGACTGGCAACCAGAAAAATCAATACTGTGACGTGAACGTGGAATGAAACTAGGATCAAATGCAGCATTGTGCTCTGCTCAGATTGTGCATTTTGCCAGCCTCCCCACGCCAGTATGTGTTTGTTTCTAGTCATTTATAATCTCCTCTCTGGGGATAATAATACATACACCTCTCCACAGGAAGTTGGGAGGCTGAATTCATGTTTGAAAAGGGCATTGGGATGCTCAGATAGAAGGCACTATATATGTGAAAATCATTGTGTGCTTATAAAACACAATGTGCACTTATGGGGCTATATAAATAATACATCATAATACTTTAGAGGCACAACCACCTATTAGTGTGCTTTGATTTGACTTGTGAGCAGAGGCAGCCCAGATTTACCAGCAGGGATTAATTTGGCTCCGTGTGGTTTTTGTTAATCTGACCAGGCTATTTTGGAACATGGGACAGAAACGGCTGTGCTGAAATACAGCAGAGTGGGCGTGAATTCTTGCTTTCTCCATCTGTACCTCTACTAGATCATTCTCCCAGAAGTCAAGGCGGATGGATTTGACCCTGCTGATTTCAGGAAGGTTGCGATGAATCCCGGAGCAATTCAAACAAATGAATATTCCAAGCTTATAAGAGGCCCACTCAGGATCTAAACACAAATGGAAAGAAGGCAATAGTGCAATATATACTAAAGCATGTAGCAAAACACTGAGAAGGGGACAACCGTATGCGGGGTTCATCTTCTAATCAACACCACACCAGAAGCGGCATCAAATCCAACCCATGTGTATGTGGAACTCACTCCATTGCAGTCAAGGAAATGGCACCTGCCTACACTAGCAGGGAAAATGGCCCGTTATTCTGCAGCTTTGCCATCAAACATCTGTTTTAAAAATAAATGTGGATGACAAGCTAGAGAGGAAACCTGTACATATGGGCAGGGCAAAGAGGCAGACTGGAGCTCAGTGTACTGCATAAGTCGAACTCGGGGGGAGGGAGGGGCACATCTACCCTAGAACTGCTGCAGCTGCCCCATTGTAGCACAATAGGTGGTTCTTACATCAAGGGAAGGGATATTTCTTCTGCTGTAGTAAATTCACCTCTCTACATGTAGCGATTCTTCGCTTTGTCTAGCCCCCTCTACACTGGGGGTTAGGTCGACCTAACTACAGCGCTAAGGGCATGACATTTTTCCCCAGCCTCGAGCAAGGCAGCCAGGTGCGTCTAATTGTTAAGTGTAGCCCAGGCCTCACACTCCATTCAAATCAAATGCAGTGCTTGGCTGCTGCTTGGGATAGCAAGAGGGAGAGTGGAGTGGGGGATGCACACCACTTCCCGGGGTGACCCAAGGAGAAGGGGGGGTTTTAGAGTGTTTAAGGAGGGACAGGGAGGTCCTGAGCGATGAGACGTGACTAGGGACAGAAGCAACAGAGGGTGTTAGTCTTAAAGGTGCCACAGGACCCTCTGTTGCTTTTTACAGATTCAGACTAACAGGGCTACCCCTCTGATATAGGGACAGAAGAAGTCCTGGCTAATGGAGAGGGGCAGAGATCTTGAGAGAGTGGTACAGGGGATGGAGAGAGAAGTCCCGAGCAGGGGGTGGGGATATGGGCAAGGGAAGGAGGGGTAGGGTGACCAGATGTCCCGATTTTATAGGGACAGTCCCGATTTTTGGGTCTTTTTCTTATATAGGCTCCTATTACCCCCCACCCCTGTCCCGATTTTTCACACTTGCTGTCTGGTCACCCTAAGGAGGGGTGTCCTGGGGGAGTGGGGATTCAATCTGGGACAGGGACTGAGAGACCGCGGGGAGGGGACTTGGGAGGAGGCAGTGGGGAGACGAGGTAGCCTTGCACCCTAGGGACATTTCCTCTTACCGGGTGTCCCGCAGTCTGCGCACTGGGAGTTCCCTGTCCCGGCTGCTCTCAGCAGCTCTAGTAGCAATGTCTTGTTGAACTCCCGATCCACCATCCTGCCCCTGGCCGCTCCGCCCGGGGATGGCCACACGCTGCCGCCGCCCCGAGACTGCTGGGGCGAGTCTCCAGCCTAGCCCGGCGGCAGCAGCACCGGCTGCACTTCAGCCGAAGTAGCCTAGAAATGAGGAAATGTGACTCCTGCTCCAGCCCTGGTGGGAGAGTTGGGGAGGCTCGGTCACCGCCCATCAGGGCGCTTCCTCCCCCTCCCACCGGCCCTCAGCCCCCCAGATCACCACTGCCCCCTGCCTCTCTCTCCCCCAGGGCTGCACGGCCCAGGGGAGCCCCCCAGCCCAATGCAGGAAAATCATAGCAGATAAGGGTTGGAAGAGACCTCAGGAGGTTCCAGTCCAATCCCCTGCTCAAAGCAGGACCAACCCCAACTAAATCATCCTAGCCAGGGATGTTGTGTTGGTGGAGGAACAACGCTGGCCAGGACGAATTATCGGGGGAGAGGGGGGAACAGAACAGACTCCCCCCACACACACCTTTAGCCTGCTCTCTTACAGCAGAACGTCCCCCTCCTCTCTGCCCCCCCCCTCCCCGCCGCCCTCGCTGGCCAGGGGAGAGCTCTGGGGTAGTACTGTGGCAGCCCTCACAGATGGAGTCTAGGAGGGTTGGGGGCTCTGGGGCTGTGGCTCACACAGATCCGATCCTAGGGGGGTTGGGAACTCTGTGGGCTGTGGCTCAGACAGATCAGACCCAAGCGGTGTTGGGAGCTCTGGGTTTGTGGCTTTCACAGATCAGACTCTAGGGGGGTTGGGAACTCTGTGGGCTGTGGCTCAGACAGATCAGACCCAAGCGGTGTTGGGAGCTCTGGGGGCTGTGGGTCACACAGATCAGACCCTAGGGGGGTTGGGAGCTCTGTGGGCTGTGGGTCACACAGATCAGACCCTAGGGGGGTTGGGAGCTCTGTGGGCTGTGGGTCACACAGATCAGACCCTAGGGGGGTATGGAGCTCTGTGG